CAACAAGGTCCAGTTTAGAGAAAATTTATTTATTTCAAATGGCAGGCGTTTTGATAGCTATCATTAGCCATTTAGCTGACTTCGGGCTTCACAGAGGGAAGGTTCATCAAAGCAACAGAAAGTCGAGGGGCGGGGAACAGAAGAGCGATTCACAGATGTAAAAGAGGCAGACAGACATAAAGGTAGGGAAAAAGGTAAGATGAGTACTGTGGAAGCGGTCGAATATGACAAGCAGTCGGGCCATGGTATTATGAAGTCAGAAGTCAAATGCCGGTTAATAGACTTTTTTGCCGTATGAGAATACGTTGCCCAGGGTGCACCGCGTGGAGGTAAGTCTATCGCACACCCCCAGTTTAGAGAAAAGGACTTCGCAATTTGGTTGAAGTGGGAGATCGTGGATAGGGGGAGATGAGACAGTTATTTATTTGAGACCATGTGCTAACCTGTTGTTTGTGCAATAACTAAATAAGCCTCTTGTAAAATGAATTGTCGATTCTGCCACTGGGTAGGAGCCAATTTGCTTATACTCATTGTTTATATATATATATATATATATATATATATAGTCCATATGGTCCTGCACCAAATAGTGGATCTATGGGATACGGAACCGAGGACTTAGTCCCTTCAACTTTTAATCTATGTGACATTGCATATAATAGATGTGAAGTACGCAATTGTAGCACCAATACATGTTGCAATCACGTGCGCACTCGAACATTCTGGAGGGTGCGGTCGTGCGTGCAGAGCCCTTCTCAGCCAATCAGATGTTAGTATTCATTCAAGTTATGTTAAGTGCATTCAAGTACTGTTTCCTCTAATAATGTTGAGGTAGCTTAGCTAACCTCCATAATAGGGTATCTAGTTGGAGAGATTTCTGAGGAAATTTCGAGGCTGTTTCGCGTAGTAATCCTCTTCGAATAGCGCCTCTAGTTATTTCTGCCTAAAGCTTGACTCTGAATAGTTACCCCAATTAGCATAAGGGATAAGTAAAATTTCAATTTTTTAATTCACGTACAATTGTCAAGATTTCAGTATATTGAAATTAATTAAGAGTGTAAATGGCATGATTGTTAGAAAGCATAGGTGGTCTCGCCAATTCACTTATGGTAGTACAAATTGAGGACCAGCAGTTGATTGGTAATTTCTGACTTATGAATTTCGATTTTCGTCAAAGAGTTACTTACCATTCAAGCCATAGTTTTATGGTATTTATATTTTTTACTTAATTTATAGAGGAGTGGAAAGGTCTCTTTAACGGAGTTAATCTGCGAATAAATCGACGTCCATCTGCCTCACCAGTTCATCTTAAAGTAGAAACAATTTTTCATTCGGGTGTTTCAATACAATTTCTGAGGATTTAAGTGATTACTAACGGGATGCTATCACAACTGTGAGAATGTCTTTAGTTGGTACTGTTGTCAAGGCGTCAATTCTCGTTCATTCGGTAATTTGTCCGATACACGGATATTTAATCAACAATCAATGTTTTGTATAACCCTCATACCTAAGCACATACAGGCCATACTGTCTGCTAATTTCATAGTGAATTAATTTTTGTTCAATAACTTCTTGTGCTGCAATTTAGCTCTACTTTCTTTTGTATTATGTTTAGGGCACAAAAAGTCGAGGGAGGGAACAGAAAAGTGATTCACAGATGTAAGAGACAGGCAGACACAAGAGTTGAGAAAAAGGTAAGGAGAGTACTGTGGAGGTAGTGGAATATGACGTACATTGGGGTCATGGTAGTTTGAAATCAGAAGTCAACTGGTGGTTGGTAGACTTTTTTGGCATATGAGTATACGTTGCCCATGTTTCACCACGTGGAGGTAAGTCTATCGCTGATATAATAAGTCTCAATAAACACTTCACTCGCAATCGTTGCGAGAGTCCAAATCCAGTAGCCTTTTCAAACTAGGAGAACCTGTTTATTTGCTACAACTTGAAGATTAGCTCAATCGAAATAACTGGTATAAACGACATTTTACACTGGTCTTACTCTGCGTATAACGTAATTCCAGTTCTAATAAAATTCATCATCCATATACAGACCCAAGTTCTATCATTTAGCTAACCAGTTTCTTTGGAAAGTGGAAATATGTGTCTTCAAAGTCAGTCATCAGTTGTTCTTTATTGGAACATCCTAAGTAATTTCTTTGATACCAACCACAGTCTGAAAGAAGGACCTTTAAAAATAATGGGCATTTAAATGCTTCCCTCTAAGGCGTTCTTTTAAAGAGGAGTTTCAGGCTGAACTTCCTTTGTGTTTGCTAAAAGTCAGTGAAACCAATGGCCTCAAAGGATTCAGACCGCTTTTAGTCAAAGGATGATTTAGCATTACCTAATCTCTCGTTGATTGTCTTTGAACAATATCCTAAAGTAAATCAAAAAACGATTAAAATAGTTGGAATAGGACAATAAAATTACAATTTCTTAGTTTATATCATCCTCTTTTCTTTGTTCAACAGGGATGTAGTAGTCCTTTAGGCCATTAATTTAAATATACACAATTTCTTGACGAATATATGATAAATGAGTGGTGTTAATGGGTAGTCGATGGTAGAAAGACAAGTACTCACTGTTATAATATGCTAAATAAACTTATGCTCATTTAAAGACTTCGAATTTTATTCGTCGTAACAAAAATTCTGATTGGAACTTTTTTGTCGTCTAAGCACCAACTGTGCATTTTATATTCAAAATGAAACGAATGGCAATTAAAATTAGGACAATTCCAATCAGTATCTAGACATAAATTAAAAAGGTGTAATTTTGAATTTTAAAAGAAATATGCTATACATCAACCCAATTCTCAATGAATTTTCAATTAAATAGATATTATTAATGTACTAAAAAAGGAAGAATTGTTATATCTCCAGTCTAATCTGAAAATCTGCTTAAATTCGGTAATTTTTAAAAAATGAACCAAACTATGGTTTCAGGCTCAGCTTACAAAGATAGCTAAAAAGCGATTGGCTATATTGAAAAAAATTATTTTCGAATTTTGAGTGTTCGATAACAATAACAACAAAAAAAGTGCATCACAAAGTTTGCTAAAACAATAAAGGAAAGATTAAAAGCTGATATTGAGATAAAAATATAAATAGCTTTTTTGCCAAGCGAATAACTAACATGGAAAATTTACGTAGCTTTAAACAAATTCCAAGTCGCAGCGCCTACTTCAAGATGGATACTGGTAAGTGTGATTTCTTTTCGTATCTGATTTCTTTTATTTAATAATTAAATGTGCGAAATATCATTGTAAATCTGTAGTAAGGTTATTATTTATTTCATTGTAGTGATATTTTATTGGCACGATTAACTTGTTTGGCTTTTTGTCATCATTAATTAGTATATATGTCTAAAAAATTATGAACATGTTAAATAAAACTTTCATTAACTGCAAATATTTAACTTCCTTCTAACAGGATTTTAATATTTATTGGTCATCGTTGAATTTGAAATGACTATTTACAAATCTGCTCAAGTTGATTTTGATTTTTTGTGGAATTATTGTTTCAACATCTGCTTTACTTTTTTTCATCTTCACAGTGGAAAATCCTGCAGACAGGAAGACCAAAAAGCGTAGAGCAAGGCCTATCAGTACCGAAGGCCAACGACGAAAGGCCAAAATGCGTCGTCGTAATGTGCGTAACAAATGTTATTCAATTATTAAGTCATTTGTCGTCTTTTTAGGCCGAGGGAGATGATTCGTCGAGTAGCTTACCTAAGCGGAGAGGTTCTCGAAATGTAAAAGAGAAGACTCTTGAACAGCTTTGCGAAGAATTCAGAATTGAGGACGTTGAGATAACTTATTCAACTGACGATTTCGAAAATTGGACTGTTCAAAAACTCTTCAATCAATATGTTGAGCCTCTTATTGTAGAGAAGAATCCTGATGCTCCAAGGGAGCACATTGTGCAAATCTTAGATGCAAAGTGGAAGGAATTTGCCATTATGAATCCCTATATTCCCAAGGGGGAAGAAGGTAAGTGCTTTTTATCCCCCTGTTGCCCCCAATTTGCATGTACATTGTAGCGATCACATTTTTTACAGAACGTGGGCCCTCAGCTGTAGGCAGAAAAGGTTAGCATAATTTCTTCATCTGCTCTAACTTCTCTCGCTTGGTTTTTTTCTTTGGTTTGTGTTTTTCGTGCTCCTAACGTTCTTGTGTTTGTGTTTACTAATTGTTCGAACCATATCAGCAGTAGTATAATTGCATCTAGTTTGATACCATTTGTTTTTCCGTGCATTTTAGGCAAGAGGAGGAGAAGAAGGGGTAATAAGCGGGTTTTTTTTATCTGTTTAAATGTGTTACTTATAACTCAGAGTGGCATTTAGTTTTGTTCAGTTTTTCGCACTTTATTAGTCTTCCTATATGTAAATATAAATCTTGTATTCTACATATACGAAGGTATAATTCATTAAAACAATCTCTGCATGTAGTTTTATGACCTGAGTAGGGGTTGGTTTTTTTTCGTGTGGGCTTTTGTGGGTAGCGAGAGCATTTCCATTTGCTCGTTCATATATAAATTAGGTGTAAAATGCATCTTTTATCACCGATCTTTCGACATTTGACTCCATAGAGTAGCAGCAATATACAATATACAGGCATTAATTGGATCAAATTATTTCTTGGAATTTCAGTCTTTTACCTGAAATGAGAAGGTTCACATCATTGGAAAGCAATGGGGGGGGGAGTGGGGGAGTGAATTTATGCTAACTGTTCCCTCGATTCGGTCAAGTTTCCTTCTAAATCTCAGTTCTACTCTCTCTCTCTCTCTTATGTTAACCAGCGTTTCATTTCAAAATGTGTGCGACAGACTCGTAAACACGATTGTCTTCTTTGTTAACTCAATAAAACGCTATAACTGCGTAAAGGCAGGTGGTAAATTTGGGTGAATCTTTAGTTAGAAACCCACTTAGCCAATAGGGGACGTTAATTGTGCACCATCAAAGTTGGCTAATAGATCTCATTTATTCGTTTCAAAGACTGTTGTGCATGCATTTTTCTGCTGGTTATTGTTATTATCAACTCTGATTGGTCAACACAAATGATTACTCGAATAGTGCATTTAAGGCGTTTATGCAGATGTTTCACGGTTAACTTATGGAAATAGTGGAGAAGATGACATTTGAGTATTCTCGTTTTAAAATTTACCCATCACTTATTTTATTGGGTTGGCAACTAAGTCATTGCCGTTTTTGTTGACAGATTCACTCTATACTTTCTTTTGTTTTGTTAACGTGGCCAGAGCATCTAACCTATATTTTTTTCTTACTGTATGGGCTTCTAGGTTAATTAGTAAAAATTTTTTTGTTTAGTTCTTTAGTTTTGTTTTTATCCCAATTTAAAAATGAAAGAACAGGACGTGCACTTCCGACACATTTTATTGTATTACTTCTGAAAAGGCAAGAACGCATCGCAAGCACAAAAGAAGTTATGTGGGGTATATGGAGATGAAGCCTTAAAAGAAAGGCAGTG